AGAAAAACAAAAACGCAACCCCTTGAATCTGTTATCACTTGCTAATATTAGTCTCAAAATTTCATATTTATTTTGATAATAATAAAAAAAATTAAAATTGTTATATAATATATTTATAATGGATGATTTAGATAAATTATATTGTTGAATTTTTATTTTCGGATACATACGCTACATGTTGTGTTACAAAGTGGAATTATCAAATTAGATACACATATAGTAAATTGATCATATCTTATTATATAAAATTTCAAGAATAGTAAAGTTAATTTTATATGAAACTATATTTAAATACATTTATTTGGATGTATAATTTATCTTATATACTCTTCTATATTAAAGCAATTTTTTATATTAATTTCATATATTATCTTCTAAAAAAGTCAATATTGAAATTTGTACCACATGATATTTAAATAATAAAATACAAGTTATAATATTACTAAAATTCTAATTTTATTTTATTTACAAAATAGACGTGCTAAACTTAAATTGATATACTACATGCACATTTTGCACTTATAGCTGAGAAGATACAATTTTTCTAAATGAAGTTACTTTACTGAGTCACATTATCAGCAAAAATGAATGAGCATACTTTAGTATTTTTGTTAAATCTTAAAATATAAAGATCTAATTTATAAAAATCTAATTTCAAATGAAAGTATATGTTATGAGCTTTTCAAAAATATATAATTTATTATTTTTAGTTTAGAATTCTAGTCTCTAAACAATTTTTAAATTGACTAATAAATTTTGACAGAAGCAGTTTTTAGTCTTACATATCCTTAGAAAACTAGACAATTTTTCTCAAACAACTGATTATTATCTAATAATTCTTTTCTGTTTAAAATAGACTTATTGCAAAGTGTCCAAAAATTTTTCTAAAATTTTTTGAATATTGGAAGCTATTTTGTGAATTGTTAAAGCGAGCCATGAGTTGTTATTGCTGAGAGAAGACTAAATTTGTCTTCGTAAAAGGTCAAGAGTTTTCCAACGTCTCTTCGGTGATTTTGCCGATAAAAAAAGTATAGATTAAAAAGAGAAAGATTTAAAGAACAAACTCTCAAAATCTCCTTAATTTCTTTTTATTTTTTATTTTTTTGTTACATTCTCTACTATTTAACAAAGAGTGCCTAGAACTAATTATTTTTTTCTTGAAAGTGTCTCTTTGAAGTGAGATTATTTTGTTAATGAGTGGTAGCTAATCCTATTTAAAAAGAATTACTACATTTCTATTTCATCTTTACTACAATTTGTATTAGTGTTCAAAGTTTACCAAATTAAAAACTTTGTTTGTAATCGAGAATTCTTGCCTTTGTCAAGCGCAAGTGATTTAGTGGAATCTCGATCGATTAAAACTCGAGGAAATAGATGTAAACTTGGATATAGAGTTGAACTACTATAAAATAATTTACATTTTTTATCGTTACTCTCTTTATTTTATTTAAAATTATTCTATATTTTCTTTTGGTTGAATTGCATAATTTTAATTAATCAATTTTTGTTATTACGTATTTTTTATATAATTAATTTTCATAAAAAATACCCAATTCACCATGTCTCTTGAGTTGCCTTTTGGAACAATAGCTAATACACCTCCCCCTACATTTATATTTTTTGAATTTAGATCCTTTTGTTATGACAATTATTCTAAGAATCCTTCCTAACCCAATCTATGCCCACAACACTATTGGGTATTAGTCATGTGATTAATGTAAAATATAATATCCATATTGTGTGTAACGCTAACACCAAATCAAGAAATTAATTAAGAACAATGTAATTGTAGTCGCCGTTAGAAAAATTACACGTAAGTTACTGGTATTCAAGTAAATCATTAAAAATTAAACACTTTTATTAAACTATCTTGGAAACGGATATTGATAAAATAACTCATGGATTGTACCGTAGTAAAACTCTAGTGGGAATGAAGAAAGTACCTAACAACATATTTATAAACGTCAACAAACCTATCCATGAACGACTATGCTTATAAACGTCAACAAACCTATCCATGAACGACATGTTAGGTTAGACTTGCATTATAACTAGAGTTATATAATGATTCAATTTGAATCAAATTAGTTAATTTAAATTTAAATCAAATTAATTATTTTTATATCTAAATCTGATCTAAAATCCCATAAGATTTATATATATTAAATTATATCTCAATCTGAAGGATAATCCGAAATCTAATAAGAAGATCCGATTCAACAGAAAATAATGCTATTTTTACACTTAAATTTTCTCAACTTTATTCCATCAATCATATTGTTCTTAAATTTTCTAATTTTTCAAATTTAATTTTTACAACTTTAAATTTTTTAATATTATATATAATTATTGATTTAATAAAAAATATTATTAAAATAAAAATTCAGATCATTAACATATTAGGTTATTTAATTCATGTTTGATCCACTTGTTTTATTAGATTATAAATTTTTAATTAAATCTAATCAATCAAATATTTTAACTCAGATTCAAATCTCAAAATTTAAATCAAATTCAAATTAGATTCGAATTAAAATTTAACTTATTAAGAACCCTAATTATAACTACCCAATCATACCAATCCATCTGAGTGCACTAAGTCTAAACTAAAAATCATTTAGATAGATATGTATGATGAAATAATTTTTGATAGAATAGGAATTGAGTGAAAATAAGAATAGAATGGAATGAGCATTCCTATGAGTGTGTTTAGTGCACATTGACGGAATAAAAATTTTTATTTCATTATTATATTTGGTATACTGTAATAGAAATAGGAAAGTAAACAAAAAAAAATGTTCAAAGACAAACATACCTCTTTTTAGAAAAAAATTTAAATTGGAAAAACTTTAATAGAACATATTAAAGTTAAAAAAAAAAAAAATCTAATATTAAAATATTAAAAATTATATATATATCATATTTATATTGTATTGTATTACACACACATATATAGATATAAAATATACATCATGTATGTGTATATATAATTTACTTATTGTGTATATATATTAAAATTTATTATAATGTAATAATATAATATTAATATATAAATATAATATATTAATAAATAATATTATAAATACCTATAATTTTGTCATTTATTGAAAAATGAAGGGTAATACAGTAATTATACAAGCATGCAATAGAATGGAATTTAGATTACATCACTTCCAAATTACCTCATTCGATAAAATTTGGATTCTCTAGGAAATTAAATTCTTATTTCAAAATGCCTGTCAAACATAATTTTTCAAAATTCTCATTTTTATTTTTATTATATCAAGAAAATTTTATTATATCATATGCCACGTTAATATTACTAAACTTAACATGCACATGTATCTAAAATCATACATATGAGCCCGTGTTTCGCAAAACAAATTGTTCAATTAATGTCAATTATCTAAAAAATTTTAACAATTAACATATGGAGTAGATCGGATTAAGTATCTAAAAATATACTATCTTGTAGAGTTTTATCTTATTTTAGTTTCATGAATAGCGCTTTTTGCTTCGCCTATACCTTTTTTTATTTTGATTTATTATTTTCTGAAATTAAATAATTAGGTTTTATTAAAGTATGTTAGAGTAGAGAAAAATGCTAAACATCCAATAGCCTTTAGGCAATCGTTTGAAATAATTAAAACAGCTAGGGACGTAATTGTACAAATTAAAAGTCCAGGAATTGTTTTGTGAACTAGTGATATTTTAGGGGTGTGATTCCGCTTTTCCCCAAAAAAACGATATATTTATGTCCATCTGTCCCGGCAGTCTCCTCTGACTCTCTCCCTCTTGAATCTGCAAGGTCTCATCGATCGGAACGAGGAGCGGCCGCAATTTCCTTCGATTCCAAGACAAAGGCAATTTTGATGCTCTTTCGCCTTCCTTGAAGTTTTCCCTCCTTGCATAAAATTTGTAAATATATGTGTGTGTGTGTTGTGTGTGTGTGTGTGTGTGTGTTTATATAGTGTGATCCATGATCTTTGATGCAAGAGGCGCGATATTTGTATATAGGTTTAGCTGTTTTTCTGCTGAATTTTTAATCTTTCTACTGCCTATAACAATAGAAGAACGAGATCTGTGTCAGATCTGAGCTAGGATTTTTCAGTGTTGGATCCGATGCGATGGCCTGCTCCCTTTGCTAGTTATATATCTGTTGAAATTCGTGAATCCAAGTGTAGTTAATGATCAATGCGTGCCGAGTAATTAGCATCTACTTTGAGGTGATTGTCGGATTTGATCGCTTCCGGACCGTCTCCTGGTGTTTTTCATGGATTCAATTGCATTATGAACTGTTTAGGTTCTGCTAGAATTGATCTAACACACGCTTCGGATGCATGTAGTTGCTCAGACCTGAGTTGATTTTATGCCTGTTGATATTAATCTTGACTTGATATTCCTTTTGTATGCCCAAATATTTGCCTTTGATGACATACTATAGAAATTCTCTTTATTCAAGGATTGAGGTTTATGAATTCCAAGTTTAACTCATCCCTGATGATGCAAGGATGAATGGTACGGCCATCTTTATTATTTTGATTATGTTCCCCAAACGTTTGGTTACTCCTCTGACAATTATTTCTGTTATTGCTGAGAATTGCACCTATCATAGGTCTCAACTATTAGACATGTATATTTTCAAATCGTATACATATGCCAGTGTAAGCATTTATCCTAAAAGATTGTCAGAATGCGATAATAAAAATACTGATAAACAAATAGAACTCCAGAAATCCAGAGCATTTGCTGATAAATTTATGCTTGGGACCGGAGTTGGTATGTCCAGGACTAACTCAACTCCTTGGTATGTTGGTTTTAAGTAATCGCGTGCCTGCTTACTTAAAATTTTTTTTTAATCAATGAGGGCCAATTTACATATTTTTCTGGAGGCAGATGCAATTGGGTATCTGAATTGGTGAAGCTTTTTATGCTACCAAATTATGTGTGTACTGTGAGGTTGATCTAAAGATTCTAAAGTTCTTAGTTTTGCTGCAGAAATGGCTTTGGGTGGAACTGCTCCCCCTAGAGGAAGTGCGGCAGCTGCTGCCGCCAATCTCCGTCGGAGGAGGACAGGTGGCGGGCCTGCTGGAGGAGCAAGCAACACCATGCTCCAGTTTTACACTGATGATGCGCCGGGACTCAAGATTTCTCCCAATGTCGTTCTCGTTATGAGCATTGGATTCATTGCATTTGTTGCCATCCTTCATGTCATGGGTAAGTTGTACTTTGTCCGTAGAGAGGCTTGAGATGACATTTTATTTTAGAGTAGCAGGCAAAATGTGCTAAATTTTGGAATTCCATAACTTCCACTTTGGGAATTCATATTTATATTTTATTTTGTGTCCAATTTAAATATTTCCTTGTGTTGAATTCGTGTTAATATACTGTTCATCAATTTTTATTTATCCATTTGAGAAAGGTCTCTTAGAATGTTGTTTTACTGCTTTATCCATTCCAATTTCCAATTTGTACTTCATGTTACTAGCCAATGCAGTGAATCCCATTAGCGAATCATAAGGGTCTGTTTGGTTTCCTAGTTTTTAAATTTACATATATGGCTAGTACTCAAAATTTGGAAAAAATTAAAGTATCTTAACCTCTTAACCTTTTCAATTGAAAAGCTGAAAATGTAAAAAGAAGCTACGCAATCAGTCTGTACAGCTTTTACCACGAGAAAATAGAAATTATTTATTAAAGAAAAGCCTTGTAGAATAATCTATCTTTTAATGAAAAGCGGCAAGGCAACACGATCCTTGGGAAGGGTTGCCAAGTGTCTTGTCAAATAATCTGAGTTTTAGGTTAAGATATCCGGAGGTTTTGGCCTATCCGAAGAAATTAAAATTACAAGAGCTCGCTTCTCTTTCTGGAGAAAATGGTATTCGGCAAATGCGTATTCATGTCCTTGTTTTCATCCCAAGGCATCCATCCATTGCACAAGAGTAAAGGAGAAAGGAAACGGTACCTACAATAACAATTGTTTCAACGTCACCTAGATTCCTACTGATTACAGCAAACAGATTGGAGGAGTTTTAAGGGAAGTGGACTTCGAGGGCAAGAGAAGAAAAAATGGGTACAAGTCGGGCATCACACCACCCGAGACAACACTTTCATCCGAAGGTTTTGACCGCTGCATCGTCTCAAGATAGTAAAAGAATGGCTTCAAAAGTTGTACCTGGGATTTTGATTGACAAAAATTCACCGAATTTCCTCGTAAAATACACAATGTGCGATAAGAATATACAACGGCTTGATGAGAATAGTTAGGAATTCATCTTAATCAGTTTGATGAAAATAATCAAGAGTGCCTATGGATGAGGTAGGTTAGCCATTAGGAGTTCAAATAGCACTCACTTGATTTGTTGTTCCTAAGGGATTTCTTATCCAAGAGAATAATAAAATTTAGAATAAAAGAGAGCTTCACCATTCAACTTTACAATTTTAAATTTACATTAATATTAGAATTCATTAATTTTAGATTATCAACTAAATATTCGACAGAAGTCTCTTAAAATGTTATTTTATTGCTTTATCCATCCTCTTCCACCTTCCAATTTGTACCTTACGATACTAGCCAATGCAATGAACACCATTAACGAGTTTTAAGGGTCTGTTTGGTTTTCTAAGTTTTAAATTTCATATATTTTTCAATATAAAAAAATTTTAAAAGTTAAAAACGTCTTAACCTCTTAACCTTTTCAATTGAAAAGCTGAAAATATAAAAAAAGCTACACAATAAGTCATTACGGGCTTTACCTTGAGAAAATCAAATATAAAATGCTTAAATTCTAATTATTGATTGTTAAAAGAAAAGCATTGATTGTAGAATTAACTATTTTTTTAATAAAAATCAGTAAGACAAAACAACCTTTAGGAAGGGTTGTTAAGTGGCTTGTCAAATGATCCGAATTGTTCGTTACATTGGCTCATCTGAAGAAATAAGAAGTATAAGAGCCCGCTGAGACTTAGACTTGAGCGTTGCATAAAATTATTATTGGCAATCAGTTAGGCTAATACCACAAGGAATGTTACATCTCAGTAAGTTTGTTTGTGCGGATTATTTTTCAGTAATTTTTAACTTTTCATAGAATAATAACACTTCTGTTTATTTAAGTTATTTATTTCTCAGCTACTCTTATCTAAATTTTAACATAAAATAATTAGAAGTAGAAGCATCTAAAAACTTTTATCTTATAAAAAAACTCTAAATATCTTGTCCCCCCTAAACATTTTTAATTTTTGTTGCATGGACAAATTTTTAATCATTAATAGCTCATATAAAGATAATTATATAAATTATTAATAATTCATAGAAATTTTTATTTTTTATTATTGTATGGTTTATTTATTTTGATTAAATTAAAAAATAAATTAGAGTTTATGAACAAGCAAATTATAAATATTTTTTATTTTTATTTTTCTTAATAACTTCAAAATTATAAGCACAATTCAAAGAAACTTGTTTTATGATTGCAAAGGTCCATTTTTTAAAGAATGGATAATTTGGACAATTTAACATAAAAAACAATTATTACAACTATTTACCAAACATCCATTTACCAATTTTTACTATTTTCTAGTAAAATTTACAACATTCATAATTTTTATACTTTCAGCATTTTTTTAACCAGTACTAGTTTTTAATACTTCTTAAAAAGCAGTAACTCCCTCAAAATGTTGAGAAAATATTATTTGGCGAACGCATATTCAAATCAAGAGGGGCCAAGCCTTATTTTCATCACAAGGCTTTCATCCATTACACAAGTAAATAAGAGTATTGTTTCAATATCATCTTGATTCCTACTGATTACAGCAAACATATTGGAGGATTAATAGGGAAAATAGACGTCAAGCACAAGAGAAGAAAAATTCAGTGCAAGTCGGGCATCACTCCACCTGTGACAACACTTTCATCCAAAGGTTTCGCACCCCTGCATGATCTCAAGACAGATTCAAATATTTTCTCAATCTCTGGTGCACACCTTGTAAAAGAATGGCTCCAAAAGTTGTACGTAGGATTCTGATTGGCAAAAAAATCACCAAATTTCCTCACAAAATACCCACAACGTGTAATAGGAATACACAAGGATTGATGAGGGTGGTAAGAAGAATTTACCTTAATCAATTCAATGATAACAATCAAGAGTCCCCATGGATGAGGTTGGTTAGCGATTAGGCGTTCAAATAGCACTCTCGTGATTTGTTCCTGAATAATTTCCTGTCGAAGAGAATAGTAAAAATTTGAATATAAGAGATCTTAGCCTTATTTGATAAAACTTAAATTACTTGACAAAAGTTTAAACACTAAAATTTTTAATACAGAAATAGTTAAAAGTATTAAATTTCTAAATTCTAACAGTTTGGTTTAAAAAAAGCGTGAACTTTTTCGAGGTTTTCTGGGAAGTGTGGAGGAATGAACTTCTGGCCTTTTTGCAGATCAAGAATTTTACCTTAAATTATTAAACTATAATAAACTCAAGAATGTTATAACAAAACCTCTACAGGAGTGCGGCTTTTCAGAAACAAAATAAGGTAATTAGTACAAGAATAAAGATGAAAAACTATCTATATTAATCATATCTAAAAAGTCAAGTCTGCTTGACTCAACATTCACTCATTCTGTTAATTTTCAGATTTAAGTGATTTGACCATTTAACAGTTTAAACACATTTAATTTGGAAATCTCTAAATCCAGCTTTAAGAGTTTGATTGAATTATCAAACAACCCCTTAAACTTGTAAACTGTATGTTAATAATAGTGACAGATGCATGTATCATGTTAAGGATCTGCAGGATTGTGAACTACAAAATCCTCCAGAAAACAACAAATTTCTTGTCCATCTACCACACCCAGCATGCATATGTGCAGACTTGCAGTCACAAGCAAATTAGAACTCGAGAAGCCTTCTCACCTGCTTTGATTCACCAAATAGGTAAAGGATAATGAAAGAGAAGTAGTGAGTATGGTTGTTTGGGTAACGCAGTTGGTTAGCAATCGCATTCAAAACATGGTAGCGCCCCTCCGTATCTAGATCAATCATCAAAATCTCAAATATGTCCAAGGCAGCTCCAACTAAGAACACTGCTAATGGAGCACTATTGGCTGTTGACTCTGCATGAGGAGTCCTTTCCCGCAACTGCTGAATGGCCTATGGTATAAAGCACAAATATGAATTACAGAAATGCTAAGAGAAGGGACTTTCCTTTTTTATCCGGAGTGAGTCAATAGATGAGAACCCACTAAAACATTTGCCAGTTTCATATTAATATCAAAGGTTTGATCTCACCATGCCCCCAGCTCTTCCCCTCCCCACCCACTGCCACACCCTCCAAAAAAATCAAGCGGGGGGGGGGAGAGAGAGGAGAGAGGGAGGGGGAGAGAGAGAGAGAGAAAGAGAGAGTAAAACAAGCAAAGATCATGTAACTGACATCTGTCAGACATGCAAAGATATTCAAGGACTGTTTTAAGGTTTGTTCCAAATTTTTCCTCGTCCTTTAAAACAAGACTTGCAAAATTCAAATACTTTAAGATATTCAAGAAAATAAACTATTAAAGAATTAGATTTAACCAACACTAGACCTATATTAGCACTCGAGACCTGTGTGAAGGTTCCATCATAAAATAAAAGAAACTCCCACATGCTTTATAGCTTAAGACTGGTCTTTGGATGGCCCCCTTTTGTTTTGTTGATGAACAATGAGAAAATTAATGGACTTCTTTTATGGATTTCCTATCATTCTAGTTGACTATTTGTTACTACATAGTTGGAGACCCAATTACAGTCACTGCATGACAAGTAAGTTGATATGGCATCTGGTGTAACTTCATGTAGTCAAAAGACCTCATTGAAGGAACCTAAAAGTACTTCTGAAATAATGATAACATATTTGGAATAAGTCTTTCGGAAGACTGGAAGCAACAAAAGGCTCCTTCCTCATGAAACACTTGCATCATTAAGAATTATGATGGATGAATTCTGTCCCTATTACACTATCCAAAATAAAGAATCTTTTCAGAGAGATGAAGACTTCTAGAAGCCCCACAAAGTACTACCAAAGTGTCACCATGTAATTATGCAATTCTTATATTGTTAGTGAAATACTGTAGAAGTATTTTTAAAAAAAAAAAATCAACAGCATAATCTTTACAAAGATCTCTTTTTTCCCCCATAAGCCAAGAAGAACAAAAGAAAATATTTTGCCATCTCCCCAGTCCTTGTATATGGGAATTCATTGAATTTGAAACTGGGGAACATTCAAACAGATACATAACTGAATCAATGAAACATAGCACCATAGTCTAACAGTACGACATACCAGAAAAGGAAAAATGCATGGACGCACCTGTGTTCCAACATAAAGCACAAGGGAGTTAATCAATGGTACATTATATCGCGTCCCTGCCCGAGCAGCATCATCTGGTGGAAGCAACAATCTCTGCTTTAATCCAGTTAAAAATGAAGATTCCTCTGGCCTTGTCTGAAAATACCATTAAGAAGAAAAGATCCAACGAAAGATGCAAAGCATGAGTGGATGAAAAGAAACAAACAATAAAATGATATGAAGACATGCAGAGGGGGCCAAATATTAACAGCCAAAATCCAGATACCTTCAGATACTCATCTACATCACCCTTGATCTGCTTTGCTCTCAGAGCAGCATCAACCGCAGAGAGAATATGTGGAGGTTGACTCATCTCTGTTAGCAGATCAATCTGCGCACAGAAAAAAGAACAACGACTTTGAGATTAGTTGAAATCATTTAACCATTTACAGATAATTAACTTTGCACAATTAGAACCTTCAAATTTGGAGTAGATGGATCCGGTAGTCTCATATTAGGGGAAATGCACTGAGGACTATATTTCGCAATTGTATGCAGCTTGGAGGGATGACATCACAGAAGGTGAAATGATAATTGCAAAGGAATTCAGGGAAGTCATGTAGCAGCACTAGCAAAACTCTTAGTGTGCCTTTATACATTAATCTAACCTGTATGAATTTAACAAAATAAAATAAAATAAAACACAAACAAACACACACACACACACACACACAAAAGATAGGTGCATAAGCAGCAACAATTACTAGGTGGCGAAAAAAAAAAGTTAACATTAGAGAAAAAAAAGGCAAACCGGTTCTCCAAGTTCAGCATTCCTCAAGAATGGTTCGAGAAATTGTAATAAATCTACCAACAAGCGTTGCATATGAGGCCACCCTTTTTGGCCATTTCCGGTCAACAATTTTGGCATAAAACACCTGTGACTTACTAGCTCAAGCCAAGCAAAGCTGAAAGCATATTAACAATGTCAAAGTTGGGCTTAATCAAATCACATTCAGAAACAAAAATGTACCAAATCAATCACTTCTTCACTATATTGATGGTTTTGCCAACCACTTATTTCTAATAATCTGAAATAGCATCATTCACTAGTTTGAAGATATAAACCACCCATCTTTTATACTCAAGCAGGGCGCTGGGAAATCAAAACATATAGTCAACAGGATCTAAAAAGAGAAGAATCAGATCGACCCAGAATAAATCATTAAAACTCTAACATCATGTCAAAATATATTGGCACTGCAGAAAAAATTCTGACAGCTTAGCAATTCAACAAGACATCAATATATTATGGCTTTCAATTTTCATGAATTAAAGATCTTAATCCAATGAATGTAAACACAAGAAAAAAAAACTTATGCAATCAATGGGCAAATGACAGTACTGTGGAACTCAAACAAAAATACCTCCCCCTCACATCACCACTACCAACCCCCCCCCCCCCCCCCAAAAAAAAAAAGTGTGTAGCTCGATGCCACATAGAAGAATGTAAGAAAGAAGCAAGTTACAAACAAACCTGAATCCAGGAACTTTTAGTGGTTGTAAAGCATGAAATGCATTTGCAAAAGCTGTTGAAACCTAAATACAAACAAGTAGTGTAAGCTGACTGTGGACAAGGAGGAACAAAGCACACAGACAAAACCATACCTGAATATCATCAGAGACAGAGTCCATGGAACCCAGATCAAGCAACCAGTTAATAAAAAGTCTAAAATATGGCCTTGGATTGAAAGATGTTTTCCTCTCATCTGCATCTTTCTGAATAAATTTTACAGCTACTGCCAGAACCTGTAAGAATGTAAGGCACTTGGAAAAAATCATTTTATCTTGGCAAGAAATACTAAAACTATAATGAGAAATTCATTGAGATATAAACCTTTGGCAGAAGAGAGAATTTGCTGGATCCTGGCTCCACTGGCAAAAACTAGCAAAATTACAACATGAAGAATCAAGGTATGAAATAAATGGGAGAAGGAAACGAAATAAATACCCTGAAGAAAATTGACCTACCCTAACAATTGAAATAACAAGTTTTGCATAGATATCAATGGCAAGGAAGGAAAGTGGCTGGACATGAGGTGATTTCAAAGGCCCAGAACTAATCACCTCAGGAGGCAGGCAGTGTGACATAGTGAATTTCTGAGAGGAGAAAAAAAAGGACAGAAAATGAAAGTGGATTCTAAAAATTCTGAATATTACCCTATAAAGAAACTTCAAAGAAAAAATATTACCATGATGCAGTTGAAAAAGCGATCTTGTGTATTATCCCCTTTAAGCAGACCACTTTGCTGCAATTGTAATACATAATGGGCAAAAGCTGAATCATTTGCACCAGGGAGTTCACATAATCTGCACCAATCCGTGAAAAGCATGGAAACCTACAGCAAACACGTATTGTAACAGGGAAGAGTCAAGTTATTGCAAGAAAAAGAATTTGGTTGACCAACAAAAAATAGTACTTCTAAAGAGGAACTTCTAAGTGCATATGCCCACTTTATTTTGAGGAAAGGGAAAAAAAAAAGATAAAGAAAGGGACAAACAGAAATGAAAATACTTACCAATAAGAGCAATAGGTTCGTTTATAATTCTACTTAAAAAAAATGTTTTCATCAGTACCGCAATACACTTTAGAAAAATAAACAAAAACCAGAATAGTCATCCAGTACATTTTTATACTAATTTATTCATGTCTGCAAGTTAATAAACTTATTTAAAGCAGTATTTTTGTGAATTTGTCCTACCCCCTACCCCCGACTTTCTTCTGCCATCTGCATTCTAAATCACCCAGTAGGCCAGGTTGTTTAGCACCCTATTTCTGCCTGAGTACAGAAATGTTGCATGGTGTACACTAAAGCTGGACACAACAAATTCCAAGCTCTCACATATTAGATGCTTCAAGATCACCATAACTAAACTGCATTAAGAATCCCCTTGCCATCAACAAGTGCCATTGGCAGTGGAATCTTTGGACTCAATGGTTCCTCCAATGAATTTGAAACCTTCCCAGCTAGATTTAATATATCATACCAAATACACATATCAGCCACTTCAAATTACATAGCATACAGTTGATGTCAATATAAAATCGCTTAATGCTTTCAAAATGCAGCAACAAATATTTTTTTTGAGTATTTTTGTTCTTTCCCACTAAGAATTAACTTCATAACAATGGCTAAAGCCAACAAAGCACTGATGAAATTGCTGAAAACTACTAAGAACACTGATTAATGTAGATAAAGTCAGTGCCAGTTGAAGCTTTCATTACAGCACCAAAAGCGCCCAATTTAATATTTTTGTATATTTTGCACATACACCACTACTTCTTACAAGTATTATGATGCACTTTTCTTGTGTCATGATAAATTCATATTCCTGAACCCAGAAAAAAAGATACATATGAGATGCATGAACTCTATTTGGCTTTTAGCATTCATGATTGTCCACGTTGTACAGATTTGTTCACCACTGGTGACAACGATATAAACTCAAAATTCTGAATGTCATTGCACTGATGATAATACTGTACAAGTTGTCAGAACAGTTATTTCACTGACCTAAGTCGTGAGGTCATAATTCTTTAAAGGTAAATTTTGAACCTAAAAACAGTTCACTTTGCCTAATTGAGCTCATATCTTTCCTTCTATGACATCGTCAGGCACGAATTGATTCAAAGGAAGATTGCTTCGTCAAATATACCATACCAGCCATAAGGCAGTGATTTTAATTCAAGCAAATTATATATAGGTCAAATAGTTACAAAAGGAGGTATTCTATACAAAAATAGTAAGCCTATTTTAGCAAGGACAAAAACTAAAGAAAATTCAGTTAAGAAAAGAAAACACAAAACAGCTGAACTGAAAAGGAAAACAGGGCAGATACCTTCTCATAAAAACCAGCAGGATCCATTTCTCCTGACTCAACAACATTACATTCTTCCCTGCCAGCTCCAGAGTGATCAGGAGCCTGTACTATTAGAAATGAAAATCTTAGCACAGAGATTAGACAGCTGCAATATCAAATTTATTTACTTTGTGCCTATGTATTTATTTCTATACCTTTTTTTCTTTAATTTGTGTGGCATTATTGTCCTTCCCAGCAGAAACAGAAAATGTAGCAGTAGCATTGCCAACAGGATTCTTAACAACCTCAACCAGCATTTAAGCGACTCTGGAGTTCCAGACATTGCTGCAAGCTATAGGTAAGAATTTTATTAGCGCAAGGCAAACCGGTTACCTGCCATATCAAACAAAATAAATAGGCACAGACCTTTGCCAATGCATCAACAAGATAATGAAGTTCGGAAATGACTCTGGAATCACTATTCAACAATGTTCGAATGAGAGAAATAGCAAATTCAGTTGCACCCTCTGCACATTATATCCAACTAGTTAGCAAGGTCAATTCTTATAGAATTACAATCCAAAACCTTATGAGGTCACTTCCTATAGAATTACAATCCACAACATCGTACTTACTATTCCGTCCAGCATCAAGCAGCTTAGCCATATGAACATTGTACTCAGCAAGGTTCAGTAATTCACTTTGAATAAGCCCAAGCGTAATATCTTTGTTGAATTTTCGATCCTCATCAGAGTAAATTACCTGCAAAAATATAGGCTCCAGATAACACAAAACAATCTATGCTACTTCTGCATCATCAATGGCCTGGTGCTTAAAGGATATTTTAATTTTTCAGTAGTTGCAGTACCAAAGTAATATCAACGTGAAAATATTAAATATTAAGGAACTTCAATTAATCATTCATATTGCATGAGAATTAGAAGAGAAAAATGAAACATGTGAGATACAAAATAAAGTGAAGATAACCAGTGGATCCCCCCAATAGAATATTTCTTGCATCAAAACTAGCTATGGCAATGATAAGGCTCATATTTTGTAAGTTCAAAGTTTTAGCATAATAGAACCCTTGTTAATACATGATAATTATGCTGGATGCTTAAAACAGATGGACAAAATATGGAATTTGTTTTTAACATACTGCTTAGCATTTGCATGCTTCTGTCTTAATCAAATATCTACTCTTTGGCCTCAAACAACTGTCTGTTGCTTTTTTTTTTCCCCATCTTCTGCAATCATGTTTAAGATCAGCTACAAGTTTGATTTAAAAAAAAAAAAAAAAAAATTACATATGCTTCTTGGCCAAATATCCAATTTAAAGACTCAATTTTTTAACGACTATCTTCTAGAATTATTATAAACTGCAATCAGATTGTAACCAGTAATGAATTTCAGTACGATATCTCTAAATAGAGAAAAAGATAAAATCTTTTTAACTTTTCCAAAACAGTCTAGTTTAATGATCTCCAGTGATCAAAAATTGGTAAACACGGTTAAAAGCCTTCTCTCAATTATGAGAAATAATAATATCCAGAAATCATAAAATAGAAAGCAATGATAGTGATATATCAGTTCAAGAATCTACAGATTATATATTTATAAAAACTAATTGGAAATATTAGATTTTAAGAAATATATTTTCTGAAAAATGCTTATTTTAAGCTTCTAAGCTTAAATCATAACCTAATACTGCTGTTAAGTTCATAAGAACGTACCCAACTAGTTAGCTCCTTAACAACAAATTTGCTAACATCACGAATTGCAGCTAGAATGCCCAGATGAGCAGCAACATGTGCACTGTTTGATGAACTTTCATACAAACCCTTGAAAACCTGTGACAGTAAGAATTCAAACTCAAGGTATTCTTCAAAAGACCAGAAAAAGACACCACCTATCTGACACGTAGGAAACCAACATACCTTTTGGGCCACAGCCAATGCAGCTTCATCTCGACTTACGCATCTGAGGAGTATTCGGGGAACCTCAGCAATAAGTCCCTGAATACAAGAAAAACCACATAGCCTTCCACCCGCCAATAAATGGAAGAAAACTCATATAAAGTAACAAGTGGCCAAAACATGCAAAAGCCTTGTCTGAGTACAGAGGTGGAAGATTGAAAAAAATGGATGTCTAACTAAACTAATTATGGGTTTGCCAAAAGAAAATGATGAGACAGAAGTGATACCTGGATATCAGCATCTTTACCATTACTGCTCACCAGAGTTTCCAGCTGAAACCAATTTTAAAATGGCATTATCAGTTTAAGTTACATTTTCAACCAAAAAGGAGCTTTCAAAGACAAGTGTGAAGGAACCTGTTGAGGAACTGGAGGTAAATAAAAGTAATAATACTACACTATTTAAATCACAAAAAGCCCTGGAGTAAAACATCAGGAGTCCAACAAAACTTCCATATTTCGACTGCAACAAGTGTAGACTGAGTTACGGAAAATCTTTGTTTTCAATTCACTGATTTCTGTATGCCATAATTTAAGCATATAATTAACAGCTTTGGGCACGATCCAGTACAACTAGAGTACTAGACAGACTAAATAGGAAGTTTACAATAAATTGGCTACAGTTGATAAGTTCCTAAAGCCAACACCAAGAAGCAGAAAGTTTAGCAGTCATCATCTTTTAAAACACTGAATATGCATAAATAAAATGAGTATAGACGTTTTCTGCCATAAAAGATAGTAGATGGCTATTACAGTGCCTATTCCTGAGCACACTTGGTGGTTTTCAATCTGTTCACTGAAATTTGGCAAATGCAGTAATGATGTCAAGTTCCGTGTATTAATTTGAAACAATCTATGCTGAATTCTTGCCACATATTGACAAGCCTAATAGATATTGCAACATTAAATAAAAATTGTATACATGTTTTTCCAGAAAATAAATATTTCCCTACTTTAGGCACAAGTAAATAAAGAAATTCTTTTGATTAGTTGTTGATATCACATCAACCAAAGTAACAAAACTCGAATTACTAAGAGAGGGGGAGGCTCTTGGTCAGCAAGAGTTGAAAAACAAAAAAAGACAGTATCAGAACAATTAGAAAAAATTTAATGTCCACAAGGATAGGACCTCCAAGGTTTATCTACCAATACACTACTTCTAGTTAAGCATAAGTAAAATTATAAGAAACATCTGACAGAGTCATTTAACACCTTCTCTGAGATAATCTGATACTTTTCCAATGCATCGCCTGTGCTCAATAAAGGTTCTGAAGTACTAGTTCCTAGATGCTGTGTCCCAGAAATTGACAATAATGGCTGTGAAGAACCTCCAGATTCCTTGCAATAGAACAAAGCATTTGTCAACCACAAAGGATAAATCACAAGCAATGTTTGAACTCAAGTAACAAAAGTTTCACTTACTTTTGTAATATTAGAAGTTCCCAAATTACGTAATTCAGGGGCTGAGGCTGAAGGACATGAAGCAATAGGAGTGTTGTTTTGAATATCATGTAGATTAATTCCATCAGTTGCCCCAGTATGAATTGACAAAACACTAAAATTTTGATATAAACATTGACAAACAAATTACTTGCTGAAATTTAAGAATAAGAGCTGAAGTAGCTAAAAATCAAGAAAAAGAAAAACACCTATGAGGCTGATCTGGACCAGATTCCATCTCCTCAAATGAAGGGCCAACTGGTAGGGAATCTGAGCTATGGCTTGTCTGATTATGCCAGGGTAACCTAATAAAATCCTGAGAGAGAGAGAGAGAGAGAGACAGAGTGAGGGAGAGAGATCATAACTACAATGACCTATATATACTAAAAGAAGGCTAGTATGTGAGTACCTCATAAACTCGCTGTTGAGAATGGGATAAACGGCCTGGTTTAGGGCGAAGGGCTTCTGGCACACCTGCATGACCTTTTACATAAAGTCCCGAGTCAAAATACACGGGACCAACTGCTTCTCTCTGTTTTCTTCTTATTATAAGTTGTTGAGCCATTTCCCCATCAATGGTTTGTATTGCCTGCATTAAGCAGAATTTACACCAAAGCCATCATGTATATTGCCATATGGCAGCATACCCAGAGTTCAGCCACCAATGTCCCAGACTATTAATAGTTTGTATATTGCAATAAAATTGTACCATAATCAGAATTCAACTGCCAATATCCTAATTAGCCATTCTGGTCTTTCACATATAGAGTGTAGAAACACAAAAATGTGTAATGAGGATTTGTTAAGTACGACTGGAAAGTATGTCAGCATTGTACACATTTGAACAAATTTTCTATCAAATTGAAATTGAATAAAAATGGTCCCGCATTCCCAACTTTATTCATATCACAATCTTGGACAAATTACCAACCAAAATCTCATCGACACTGGAACTGCTGGAGTAAAATTTTATGTGAATAAATTACCAATCAAATTGAAATGTTTTTGAGCAATTTAAATTTAAATTTAATCATGATCATGCCGATTGTTCCATACTACTTTGATGTTTTTTATTCACTCTAGCAACTAGGTTTGGATTCTAATCTAAGCCAAATATCTGTTAGTTGATACATATGGATATATATAGTGTCTCACTCATTTCTGAATTTATGGTTCCACCATGATTTGCGAACATTTCTGTCTCCAAATAAACCAAAACAATACTCAAAAACAAATGCCAAATCTATATCAAACCATCTTCCCAGAACCACTTACAGGGAGCTATTACAGCAATCGTGGTGACAAGTTTGCGAGTTATAACATACCAACTCTCAGGGGTAAGGCATATTGAAAGAATAAGGATTTAGGATTAAATATTTGCCCCTGCTAAAATTGTTAGAGGAATATGTAGTTATAGAGAGTATACTTTCAATAGCAGGTTAGAAAATTCCATATGTATATAGAAATGTGTTCACACGTGTAACATGCATATAACCTAAAGCAATTAAGTTATGTTGCACACACAAACTTAAGTTATGAATGGCTATATCCAAAGCTAAAGTAGCAGATTCCACACCATCTTTTGCCATAGGTTGGAGCAGACCTACATGCATTTAAGAGAGTACAGTTCACCAAATCACTTGTCTTTGTGTCAAGGTCTCGTGTTTTTTTTAAACCTTGACTCCCTTGAGTGGGAGTCACCCTCTGGATGGCTGGCCTTCCGTGACAAGCTTTTGAGGCCCATGAAGAAGAACTCATGCAGGATGCTAAGTCATATATGCTAGCAAGAGGGCTTGATGCACTTAGCACAAGCTATGGTGCTCAATGCACTCGGCACAGATGCAAGTGGCATTACCATAAATATGATCAGTGGCATTTTTTGTAAATAATTGGAAATGGGCCCTCAAAGTCTTCCAATATTTTTCCTGGAATTTTGGAAATTGGGAGCACCATTGAAAAAAGAAAAAAATAAGGAATTCAAACAAGTGTGGGATTTTCTAGACCTACTACGACCCTGACCAAGAATGATACTCCTTCATTAGTAAGCAACCTACCATCCCTTTGTGACAACCTTGGGACATTAGTGGGTAATCTAATGGTGACTTGGGGAAGATGTTAGGCACCATAATGGACATGGCTAATATATCCATTGAGAAATTAGAGTCTCGCTGACAATGTTGATGACATAATAGGTGTTGGGCAAAGTGTTTAGTTTTCATAGTTTAGGTCTCCATATAGGACCACTACTTCAGGATGTTTCGTCTTGAGGTGGCATTTAGACCATGCAAGCATTCAATGCCCCACCCTTGGGCCTCGTGTTGGCCCTGGATTCTACTGTGCCAACAAGGATTTGTTGGCCAAGACAACATTTAGTATGGGCATGAGTGCATTTTGACGCTGAAGATGGCATCAGGTTTAGTTGTTGGCCCAACCAGATGTGTGAATCAGCGACAACATGCATGTGCTTAGATGGTATTGAAATGGACCCATGTTCCTAGCACAATATAAGGTGTGCTTAGCATGCATCACAAACAGCCATGTAGCCTATGTAGCTAGTCATGCAAGACAGGTTGTCAGCTTATAAGATAAATATCTGGGATCTCATATTAAATTGCCTTCCATCCAGCCTACTCTAGGATGCTTACTATATCCATATCAGTGGGTTCAACCTATGGATTGACCTGGTGAAAGTATGAGGGTGGACTTTGCAACCAATCTCTTGCAATAAGGTGAAATCAAGCAAGCTTGCACAAGGGTCTTCCACTAAAATGCCTTGCTAACCTCCCACCTTGTGACACTTCGCTCCTCCCCACAAGTTTTACAAGCTACTCCCAAAAAACCATGACCATCTGGATCTAGACTTACATCTTAAAATTCATAGACATTTCATTTATTAGGTTACTAAAATTTTCTAGATTAACTTCATATCCATCTAGTAATTCTACACTATGAGAATATACATGGATAAAGACCTCGACATTAGTGAAGAAGTCATGGGACAATTGAGAAATTCAAAGTCTACAAACACATAAAAGTATGAGATATGTGAAATTTTGTATTGTGTTCTAATTTTATGCATTTTATGTCAACTTTTTAGGATTTTATTATCAAAGGGCATTTTCTTCCCCCAAACCCTATACTCTAGATCGACCTTTTCAAGCCCTAACACGTCCTACATCAATAAAGATGTCAACTGATTTGCCCCAGCAACATAGTGGTTAAATTCAGATTCTAATGATAAATGCAATTCCCAATTTTATGTGTTGTGAATAGTTGAAAATACTGATTGTATTTCATTTAATAATCAATTCAATCCTCAATACACTTATATACAACCCTATTCCTTACATAAAAGGAAAGCAATCAAACAAATCAAATCTCCTATACAATCTTGTCATATCCACACAATCTCTACATAATCTATATATATGGAAAATATATACAAAATCTCAACACTACCCCTCAAGCTAGTGCATATATGTCATATGTACCTAGCATATATGTCATATGTACCTAGCATATTACATATATATGTTATTCTAGGAGCACAGAGGGATTTAGTAAAGATATTAGTCAACTGATCATTGGAATTCACATATGAGGTAACGATTTCTTTGGAGATAATCTTTTCATGGATAAAATGACAATCAATTTCTATATGTCTGGTCCGCTCGTAAAAGATTTGATTTGAGGCTATATGTAGTGCTGCTTGATTATCACAAATAAGTTTTATGGAATCAATCTCACAAAACTTCAATTCTTTAAGGAGTTGCTTTAACCATATAAGTTCACAAGTGGTAAGAGCCATGGCACGATATTCTGCTTCTACACTAGATCTTGTAACAACACTTTGCTTTTTACTCTTCCACGAGATAAGATTACCTCCAACAAGAACACAATATCTAGATGTTGATCTCTTATCACTAGGAGATCTTGCCCAATCTGCATCTGTATGGTGGTCGTGAAGAGTGAAACCCTAACCCCAAATACTATATCTAACTTGGCTCGATACCAAGTTGAAAATACTGTTTGTATTTCATTGAATAATCAATTCAATCCTTAATATCCATATATACAACCCTATTCCTTACATAAAAGGAAAGCAATCAAACAAATCAAATCTCCTAAACAATCTCCTAACATCTTCTATACAATCTTGTCATATCCACACAATCTCTACATAATCTATATATATGTAGGGGTGTTCAAAACCGAACAAAACCGACCGGACCGAACCAAACCGACCACAAACTGAACCAAACCGATCACAATCGGTTATAAAATTTTATAAACCGATCGGTTCTGTTCGGTTTCGGTTTTGTCCCAAAATAAAACCGAACCGAACCGAACCGAACTGATCCTATTTGTTAATATATATATTATATAGATATTATATATATATTCATATTTATATTGTATTTATATATATATTTATATTGTATTTGTTATATATATATTTATATGTATATATTATATTATATATATTTATATTTTTATTAAATTTTTTATAAATTAAAAAAAGTTTAAAAACCGATCATGTCAACTGAACCAAACTGACTTGAGTCGGTTTGGTTTGGTTCGGTTTTTTGAAAAAAAAAAAAACCTATCATGTCTTATGAAAAAAAAACCGACATGTTCGGTTCGGTTTGGTTTTGGTCCAAAACCGAACCGAACCGAACCCGTGAACACCCCTATATATATGGAAAATATATACAAAATCTCAACATGAATAAATCAAATTGTAACTCAAAATTTGGAGATAACAGCTCCAATATCATGGTTATATTCCCTACCTACTGCTTTCGCCCTCACATCTGACCTGGGATTTGGATTGGATCTCCATAAAGAAGAACCGAAGTAAGCTATAAGGAGAAGGGGCTGTCATTTTCTGCGCTATTTGGAAGGACTCAAATCTTTTCATGTAGGAGACAATAGCAAACGTGAGGAATGGGACCTCCAAAGCTACCTGCCCTACTAAATAAGTTCGCAAACAAGGGACATGCCAAACACCTACCTTTCCAACTAAGTCCAATGCAAAGACCCTTTAATTGAAATTGACGATGCGTTCTGTCATCAGCAAGCAGTGGCACTAAAAATTAAATGAAAATGCATGCAATATGTATTATTAAAATAAATTAGTAAATATAGTATTATGCATTTTATCATGCCAAAAATTTCTGTGATTGTGTACTTATTGAACACAACTGTAGAATGGTAAACATAAAATTTTAATAAACTCATAAAACAATTTACAAGTTATTCAAATTAAAATACATTTTCTTGGAATGCCTAAAAAGCTTAAAGGATTTTTAACAATTCAAACTAATCATACATGTGACACCACTGCAACATAAAATTTCACCTATTACTCATAAAATGCATCCAATTGTTACCATTTTAGAAATAAAATGAGTCATCAAATATCGAACATTACTCATTGGTTCCTTTTATTTTCTACTTTTCTAATAATGTAATAACCAAGGTTAAATGAAAACCACTTATTAAGAAAAGAAAAAACAAAAAAATTTGCCTTGCCTATAAGAAAATGTAATGAAGAATAATATTTTGGTCTCTTGAACATATTTGTGACTTCTCCCTCTCATATACACTTCTTAAAAGTTTAACCCATACTGTCACATTACTAGCAAGAAATTTTCTAGGAGAAAAGGGTGAACAAAGACACCATAGTCATCATTGTATGATCAAAATTTGCAAAATAACGCTGCGCTACAATCCAAAACTAGCACCAAGCTAATATGATGACTAGCAGCAAAGGGTTTTAAGGTGATTTTGCACATTGTGTCACAATCCAATAGAGCTTCTCAAAGGAGATAATCCCTTTTGAGTGAAGAAAAATTTTAAAAGGAAGGGAACATGAATTGGAGGTTAACAATAAATAGGGAAGACCTACATAAAGAAACTGACCCCATGGGGAGATACCATACCATACTAACTACTAAGAAATCCTTCTCCCATTGAACTGGGATTACCCTAAATCATCCAACTCAAGGATTAGAGAGTTCTCTTCAGGTTGGAATTCAACCATGCTTCCAGTCTCCACTATTCACTTTTGCAGGGGACCTATGAAGTGAGTGTTTTGATGGACAAGTTTTCATCATCAACATGCACATATGAATGAGTTCCTCATGACATATACGATAAAAGAAGTCTTCCCATAAAATCATACAAGGACTACAGTTGAGTTTTCTATAAATTGATCAAATAGTTTCTCTGAGCAAGTAAAAAGAAGTGATGGATGTTCTTCCCTAAATGTAAATCATTACACTAAACTACCAGCATTCAAAAGAATAGATACGGCATACGCATTCAGCAAGATAGCAAATCTAACCTTCTTAGCTGCTGCTTGTTCAATCAGGGTGCACCCCAGATCAAGGTTATCACTAGTAACAAGTTGCACAGCTTGTTCAAAAAGTTCATTCGCAATATTTAACCCCGGCAGGGAATTCCTTAACTGACTTGACATTGAAGTGCGCAGAGGTTCCTAGCAGTAATCAGAGAATTGTCATCAATCTCCCGGTACCAAAAGCAGATATATAGAAAATAAGAATCAGAATAATGGTACTACATCTTCAAATAAACAAACAGAACAATCAAAAAGTAAAAAAAATTTCCATGTGAACAAGATACCTTGCATGTAATATGGGCTAAACTTCCAGCCAAACTGGTTGACATTAAGTGAGCCGCATTAAGTATACGGTCTCATCTAACTCCATGGCATAATCCTAAATTTGCATAGTTCCAAAACTTCTTAGTGGTAAAGAAACTAAACATATTATCATGCATATGTTGCAATAGAGAAGGAAATCACAAAACCTTTAAAACAAGTTCCTTTGTTGTTTGAGTTGCTATAGAAACACTATGCTGCGCAATATTAGACACTACCTCCTTGATGGCTCTGCATATGGCAATTGGACCTACACTGTAACAAAGAATTTAAGTTTTGTGATAAAAATATGATTGTATCCCTTAATTACATAGAGAGAGACAAAATCTAAAGGACAATTTCAAACCTCTGAAAATGAATGTAGAGTCCAAGGGCACTAAGCTTTGGATTTATGATAATTTGTTGCTCAACATTGGCTGCTGGGGTTGGAAGCTACAAAACAACCAGGAGCTCACAAAGATTACAAAGGTATCTAACTGATAATGACAAAACCAGCAACATACCTGGCCAACTGAAAAGGCTAATTTCCGTTGTAATAGCCCTCGGGCAGAAGGAACTGGAAGCAAATCAGATAAACCTAAAGTTGCCAGCTTTTGGTCCTCCATCAATGTACCAGAAGAAAGATGGAGAGGAGCAGCATACTAAATTCACCACAATATTTTAAAATCAGATTGCTAAGATGATCACATCCAGCTAGGAATTTAATAAGTAATAAAAACCTGAGATAGTATATGAGAATGGCCAGCAGGATGAGATGGGCTAGCAACCTGTTCAACTTGATTTAGTGTAGATATCACACCAGATTTGACTTCACCAACCATCAGTTGTTGAGATAACCCAACATCTTTGCTGGAAAAATCAGGATTTCCTTCAACTTGTCTTACCCTGTCCTTCAGGAGAGAAGTTGGAGTAACATCCTTCAAATCAATACAAAGATTCTTGAATAGGACCTGAAAAACCAAAAGAAATTAGGACACATTTGAATCGGTTAGTCTTGAAATTCCTAGAATCACTAGATATGCCATTAATCATATTAATCATACCTCAATATCAAACTTAAGGTTCATTTTTAGATTTGGCATGGCATAAATCTCAGCAAGTAACCTAAGAATAGCCACGGTCCAAGGATTGGGAGGTTTATATGCTCGACTGCTTTGACAAGGTTCCAAAATCTGTGGGAAGTAATAAAATATAAATATCAAGTTCAAAAAGCATAGACTGCAAACACATAAGAGTTCTAGAACTGTGATACCTTGGAGGTGAATGGGATTACTGCAATCATCAAGCCCTTCTCATATGCCTGATATAAATTAAAACAGATGGTATTACAAAAAAATTTAGTGACAAGGTCTATAAGCCAAAAGTAATTACAAAAAGTCAGCTAGAGAGGAATGACCTCTATGATTAAGGATTTTGGATCAATGTCACATGCCCTCAGAACACGATTTCTTCCAATTGTGATCTTCCCAAGCCAACTTCCTAGATTCTTTAGCAAGGAACGCTCTTCTGAACTGGATTTTATAAGCTCTGATCGTAAAAGAACCTGAAAAATAAATTGATAGTAAATACATTTTCACCAGTAACTCAAAGATAATAACAAATAGTTATACAATTTAAACCTTGCAGTTCTCATAAGTGGCTTTTACAATTTCTCTGTTCAAGCGCTTCATGTTGACCTTATCCAGAAACTTTAAGTACAGATCATGAAAGTTTGGCTCAATACTTGCCCTGTCAAGAAATTAAATAATGAATGAAGACTTGCAGCCAAACTAAGATGTGGCATAGGCAGGTATAAAAAAATAAACTACAGACAACCCCCCAAATTCTTCACTATTTCTTTCCTAGTACTCAAACCCCTCCAGTTTACAGAAAACAAATATGCCCCAAGGGGATAATGAATGCATAGGATAAATCTGGGGACATATACCTTTACTTCAAATATAAATATATAAACTAAATTGTGAAAGTGTCTAGAGATCCCTCAAAAACCACTATAAATTAGGCTTTGACCTTTCGTTATCCAAATAGACAACAGGCACAAAACATACTCTACAAAAGCAGCAACAAATTTTCTCATTTTACTTCAAAGGGATTGAATGAATTGGGAATCCAAATCTAACTATGAATAAGACTGGTAGTTCTTGCTACTCACCTCTTCATTACCATGTACTGAGCAAACCAAGGATAATACTGCTCTTTCAGTATTCCACTAAATTCTTTCGCTTTAGCATCAGCATTTGTAGCAGATAAATTATTAATAATAAATGATATCTTGTCCTGAATCTCTGATACTGGAGCCTGCAGAAATAATGTAAAAATGTTAAAGCAAATTGACCAATTACAAGTAGCAGAAGAACAGCATCTATAATTGAAAAGAGAGAAGACTTAGAGCAGTAAGTGCCAGCTAGCTCCTTGTAAATTGTACCAAGGAATACTTCCCTCTAACTTTGTAGGCAGTGTCTCATTATGCATTGTTCATAACAGATACAACCTTCACATGCACACAAATAAATAAACCAATGCAATTGACCTGTTGGTTACCACTTATCAAACACCAATACAAAGCCTACGATAGAGCAGCAAAGTATTGCACCTACAACATATCTCATTTACCAATGTCCCTAATCAATATAATTTTTCATGAGTATAATTACAGATAAACTGAGAGGTTGAACAGGTTGATTACCTTTATGAGACCTATTGTATAACAAAACTTCTTGTTAGAACCCTTTCAATCTAGATATATATGAAAAAAATGGACACATGTATCCCTTCTCCTACCCCCACTAGCAAATTATAGATTAATTTACCCGTTGCGTGACAGAAACTACTCACATCTAATTGCCCAAGAGAATGTGTTAGATAAGGAAATTTGGTTCCATAGTTTCAAAGATATTCAGGAGGTTCTCCAATTAGATGAGAACTGTAAACAGGGGAACAAAGTTTACAGATAATGCAGAGTAAAAACTATATGATGATTGTGATTTAAAATAGTAACTTTGCTGTAAATGTTGCACAAGCTCTTGGGATCTTCATCGGCATGATTTGGTACTATTAATTTATTGATTTATTTTCCACATTTTAGAGATTTAGAGAGATTTGTATAAATCAGCAATTGATGTCTATTAAGGTAGGGATTTCTTCCTTTTTTTGTATTGCTTTTAGCCTATAATTCATTGTAAACCTGTATTGTAAAATTTGAATAAAAATCTTTCCCCTCGTCTAACATGGTATCAGAACAGAGGAGAAAACCCTAACTCTAGTTACCTACTCTTCTGGCTTTCTTCCCCTGTTGGTCATGGTCCTCAATCTCGTCAACCAAAGGTGGTCATCGATCAAAGGTGCTCGCACCATTCTCCAGTGAGTTTGGTGTGGGTCATAGAAATTGTTGACTCTTTTTTTTCAAGAATCATTAGCTCTGAGTTGCTGAACCATCAGGGACATCATCTTTAGTTGTCGGCACCTCTGCATTACTGAAGATTTGTCACTGCTGACTGGTGTCCATCTTGTCTTTCAGTGCCTTTACTGCATCTTCGTTGTCGACCCTATTTTTCAGCCACACCTATTGATGCAAAAAAGGGTGTTGCCTAGCCCTAAGTGCGTCAAACCCAAGTGTGACTTCTCTGGCCTCTCTTCCTTGTTCAACATCTTCATTGAACTTCTTCATTGACCTGTCTTCATTGTTCAATACTCCTTCTTTGACGTTGTTTAAGGCAGCTTCATCTAGTGCTTCTCCATTCCCATTTGGCACATCAGGTAATCCAAAACCCTTGTCATGTTTTGATCGGGATCTTAATATTCCTATTACTCTTAGGAAAGATGTTCACTCTTGCACTAAGTATCCTATCTCTAATCATGTGTCATATCATAAATTGTCATCAATTTTTGGATCATTTGTGTCTAACCTTTCCACTGTAGAAACCCCAAGGTCTATACAAGAGGCTCTTTCTATTCTAGAGTGGAGACAGGCTGTCATGGAGCAAATGAAAGTTTTTGAAAAGAATCAAAATTGGAAAATCATTTCCCTTCCTCAAAACAAAAGCATTATTGGATATAAATGGGTATTCACTGTGAAGTTCAAGTCTAATGGTTCAATTGAAAAATACACATCAAGATTGGTGGTACAAAGGTATACTCAGACGTATGGGATGGACTACCAACAGACCTTTGCCCCGATAGCAAAAATAAATAGTATTCGGATCTTATTATTTCTTTCTGCTATTATGGGATGACCGTTACAACAACTAGATGTGAAGAATGTTTTTCTTAATGGTGGTCTAGAAGAAAAAATATATATGACTTTACGGCCAAGCTTTGATAAAATGTTTGGTACAAACAACATTTGTAAACTCTAGAAATCCCTTTATAGATTAAAGCAATCTCCAAGAGTTTGGTTTGACAAATTCACCAAAGATGTCAAAACTTATGGATACTCATAAAATAATGCAAATCATACCATGTTCTTTAAGCATACCACTGGATGAATATCTATTCTTATTGTCTACGTAAATGATATCATTTTGACTGAAATGATCTTAAAGAACAAGAAAGGCTAAAGTCATTCTTAGCAAAGGAGTTTGAAATTAAGGATCTAGGTCCTCTGACATATTTTCTAGGCATAGAGGTAGCTAGAAGCAAAGAAGAAATTTTAGTAACTCAAAGAAAATATATTCTGGACCTCCTGAATGAAACTAATATGTTAAGATGTAAATCTGCTAAGACTCATGCGGAAACTAACTGCAAACTTGGAGGTAATGGTGGTAAAAGTGTTGATATGGGACATTATCAATGATTAGCAGGTAGGCTTATTTGCCTGTCTCATACTAGACCAAACATTGCTCTTGCAGTAAGTGCTATCAATCAATTTATTTGTTCTCCAAGAGAAAAGCATTTAAATGCTGTCTACAGAAATTTTGAAATATCTAAAGAAGACTCTCGGTAAAAGGTTATTTTTCAAAGAGGATAATAATATATCTATTGAAACTTTTATTGATATTGACTGGGCAAGATGTATAAATGACAGAAGCTCTACATCTGGGTATTACAACTTTATAGAAAGAAACTTGGTAACTTGGAAAAGCAAGAAACAAAATCTTGTAGCTCAAATTAGTGCATAAGCTAAATTTTGATCTATTGCACAAGGTTTATGTGAGCTATTGTGGATTAAGAGACCTCTTGATGAATTAAAGGTTGCATGGAATAGTCCATTAAAGTTGTATTCTAATAATAAGGCAACAATTAGCATCTTACATAATCATGTGCAACATGATAGAACCAAGCATGTTGAAATTGATCGGCACTTCATTAAGGAGAAATGGAAGAGGGAGTCTTATGCATTCTATTTATTCCTACAAGTTATTAGGCGGCTGACATTTTCACCAAAAGTCTATCATTTTAACAATTCAATGCTTTGATTGGCAAGCTGGGAATATTAGATATTTATGACCTAGCTTGAAAAGGGATTATTAATTTATTGATTTATTTTCCATATTTTAGAGATTTAGAAAGACTTATATAAATAAGTGATTGATGTAAATTAATGTAGGGATTTCTTCCCTTTTTTTATTGCTTTTAGCCTATAAAGTCATTGTAAACCAGTATTATAAAATATACAATTTGAATAAAAATCTTTTCTTTCTTCCAAAAGGTACACTTGCCATGTTATGCATCCATTTATATTGCAATAATAGATATGCATGTGCATATAAGTTTGTAATTTTTGTTGGCATAAGATATATGCCAATGGCGTAGAGCAATTTTTGGATATGTGGTGGAAGTATAGCACTATAAAGAGCCTGAGTAAACTTATTAAGAGATTACAGCTATACAAAACTTTGGAAAGGTCAACAACAATAGGTAAGGTTTTGCAATGGACATGTGTGGCGGAGACAATTCTATGTTATCAGTTTGGTGGCTCGACTTTAAGTTACATATATGCATGCAGAGAGAAAAAGAGAGAGACTATATTGGCTTTATAGCATTTAAATACAGCCAAAGATAAGTAGATAGGCATAAAACTAAATAAAGTGAAATAATAAAGGTTGTTGCGTGCTACCAATATGAGAATAGGTGTAAAAAAAGGTAAATTCAGTATTACTCCACTTTAGTTACATTGGGGAATGCTTCTTTAGATACTTCAGAGTTAAGGACACTTGCTGCAATTTCCAATACCATGGGGTAACTATTTCAATCACCTTCAAATATCAAGGCTCATCACCGGTCAATGTAATTAGAACTTGGCATGATTTGTTGGCATATTACATTTAAGATTATTCATAAGTCTAATTGCTATTTATGAAGCAAACACCTTTGAACTGATGCAAGACAACTTGCACATATACCATACAAAATTGGCAACAATTAAATTTTGAATAAAATACCTCTAAGGGTGTTTCACTTCTCTCAGCAGCAGCAATAAGTGTTTCGATATTTAACGCAGAGCCAAACCCTATAGAGAAGAATGTTACAAAGTGTGCTCAATAGAACTGCTGGGAGATCGTATAGGCAATAACAGCTTAACAGAAGAAAATTTATATCAACATTTCTATACAAACAAGAAAAATGAAAAGAAAACTCTGTATATCCAGAGGCAACGGAATTACGCGCTGAGGTTATAGCTCGAGATGGATGGTTAAAAACAGAGGTGGAAGACAATGCAACTGAAGCACTAGCAGCATTCTGCACCTGCATCACAATTGATCATTTAGTAATAAAAGGAAAAACATGCATATATAAATATATAGAATCATCCTTAAAAGAAATGAAATCAAAATATATACCTTCAGAGTACTAGATGCATTGCTTGTGGAAACTAAAGGTTGTCTATCAGAGGATGTAAAAGGCTTAATGTAGCCTGATGAAGTTGCAGAGATTTTTTGACTTTCACCTAAACAAGATTCTGGATTCTGTTCAAGCAGAATTGAAGATGAACTTTGAAGTCCAGATTGTGTGCCAAGAGACCCACTTAAGGGAACTAATAAATCTGGCATCTGAGGATATAGAGGTGAAGTAGACTGCATAACATATTGGCATACTCGGTTCAAAAAGACTCCATTATTTATTAGCCATAAGATAATATCAATTCCTGATCATTATATCATGATAGGGATTCAAAATAAAGGCTAAATATACTGTAGTTGTAACTTATTGTACATGCTAGAAGCTTC